TTTACCTACCTTTTAACCAAAGTTTCTGTGTAACTGAACAATTTATTTTCCATTTGGAAAGCACCTTTTCCAAGTGAAAAACCAGTACAAGATTCATTCCTTAGAACAGTGAACTTTTTAATCTATTTAAATATCTATAAAAGTCATAGCATGTGATTTACTGTTTTCTCCAAGTCTGGACAGTTTTTTTCCTAAACAGCTAGCACAGCATTAGGAGATCTCTTTTCTTTCTCCTGGGGATCTTTGAGATCCCTTATCTTAGATCCATATAATCTCCTAGTGACCTCCACAACCAGTCAAAATAGGAGAGCCATTGAACTGGAGAGTTTTAACAGGCTCATTTGCTAATACTCTATGGAGTTGTTACCACTTTGTTCAAAATGATCTCCCAGTAGAATCTTTCTTTTGGCTACCCTGGTATATCAAACCAATATGCTTACACAGAAAAAAAAAAAAAAATCTTAAAATGTTCACAGCAGAACAATCTTATCCAACTTCAAAGCAAACTGATGATGACTTTAACGAAGGCTCTTCTCTAGAAACGTAAAGGCCTTCTCCTCAGGCTGAGCTAGTTTGGATCTTATTTCATTCTTACAGTCAGAGTGCTCCCGGCTTCAATACGTGTTATTTTCTGTCTAATCAGATAGGGGGCATTTGGGCTTCGTGCTAAGATTTGAAATCTTATTTTCTCTGCGATTTCACGACCCCATCTGAGAACAGGAAAGGCAGAGCGAGTCCCGCGTACAAAATCAGCTTTTGCTTCCTCTGGGAGAGGTTAGTTCCGAAGGAAGCAGACAGGACGCGGGTCCCCTTCCCCTCCAGCTTGTGTCTTTGCACCGTAGATGGAGAGCCACGGCGCATGCTCAGAGCACATGCACGCGGGCGCCCGACGCTCCTCTGCAGATCGAATCCTGCTCCAAGGGGAGGCGCCCATTTCCTGAGGAAAGGCAGCTTGCACATGCTCTCTCTCAGTTTACAAGCAGTGTCACCCTGATACCACCGGGACTCTGGCTGCACAAAGAAAGAAAACTCACTGAAGGGGAGCATGAACTTATTTACACCTTCCCGAACACAGTGCCCTAGCAGTAAAAAAATGAAATGCCCAAATAATTAAGGATATTTTCTTCCCAGGAAAACTGAAACTGTTTGGGGGCTGGGCAACTTAACCTTTACCTTTTCCAACTACCGTAGTTCATCCATGTTTCTCTCTGTGTTTATGGCAGATTTTTGTAACCTTAATGAAGCTAAAAATGTGGTTCAGTCCCAAAACAGTAACCAGGACACAATTTTTGCTTTTTTTTTTTTTTTTTAACAGCGTGAAGGGGATACGCAGGTGTATGACATCACTTACTAAGATTCACTTTCCGGGTCCCACACACTTTCCTTGAGCTCTGCAGCTCCTTGGATGTGTCCCTCCTCCAATGTCCCCTTCTGCTCTAGCAATATGCCTCTTCTCCTTTAGCCACCCCACTTTTCTTCCCAACTTTGTATCACAAAAGTGTTTATATACTATAAATAGTATATTAGATGTAAATCTAATAATGGATGGTGCCAGAATCCTGCTGGAAGCTCAGGGAGGTTAAGAAACTGAGTGGGAAAAACCAGGTTCCTCTTTAGTGGGTAGGAAGAGGGAAAAGCTAAAAACACTTACTTGTGGTACTTTTCCCCATCCTATCCTATTTGTCTTTATCCATCTGCAACCTGTCTCTTTTAGACTATTATTAATTTATCCAACCTACAAATATTTAATGAGCATTGATAAGATAAGAAGAAATGAGGTTGACACATGAGAATGGAAAAGAAGGGATATGTCCAATTCCCAGGCAGGAGTGCCAGCTGAGGGTCTTGGCCTGGGGTGGACAGATCCACAGGGGTGTCCATAGAACTCTGAGGGGCTATCTCAGAGATGTCGCATCTGTCATCAGCCAGATCCAGGGACAAGTTTGAGGCTGGGTATGGATAACGTAAGCCTTCCAGGGGAAATACTGGAGTGGAATGGGAGACAAAGGACTAAGGCATGAAGTTGAGAGGGTTCAAGACTCCTGTGTGGCAGAGTGGGGAAATATAAAACTTTTCCCACAGGGAATGAGCTCTTGACTGTGTGAAGTCTGAAGAGGTGCCTGGACCTGGAGGAAGAGACCCAGTGTTCATGTGCACAGAAGTGATCATTTGGTTTGAATCTTAGAACTACGGGCCTAAGCTAACTCTCAAGGGCATACCAAAGCAGCATCCTGTGACCCAGGAACCAAACCCAGGACCCCTGAGAGCAAAATTCTAGGCCAGGCTCCAACCCTTTTTGCTTGTACCCTGGGCCTTATGGTAAGGCTTAGGACAGGGAGAGATGACCTGCACTGTCCAAGGAAAGGATGAGAGCTGTTGGATTTGGAAGGAAATAGCCTTCTCCAATTGCAAAGCACTGAGTTGCCATGTAAAAATAGCAGAATACGGTTACCTTGGAAGCATTTATCTTTCCATGTCAAACCGAAATTGCTTCCCATCTCTGCCAAACTTCAATAATTGAACAAAGCCACAGTTGGGGGGCAGGTGGAAGGAGAGGAAGGTGTTTATTGATGAGATCAGATGAAGGATTTTCATGGTCAACTAGCAATTTTTATATTATTATTTCATGGCAGTTTCTAATACTTAACATTCAATATTTGTTATTTTCTTGTCTCTGGTCACTATTTTGGATTATAACCAGATCTTATTGACTAGTTTTGCTTTTACAACAACAGCTTGAGATACACAAAAAAATTTAACAGTCATTGCCCTTGGAGAGGGAAAGTGGACAGGCTGGGGACAAAAGATTTGTGTTTTCTGGTATATATCCTTTTGTATATTATAAATGTTATATCATGTGCATGTATTACCTATTAAGGATAAGTTAATTAATTTCTTAAAGCTTCCTCTTGACTTCTTTAGCATTTAATTTCCTACATGAAAAATGTACTGATCTACCATCTCCTCACCTCCAAATTGATCATGAATTTCTTCTTGTTAATTTCTTCTAAGAGAGACCATATTTTTATTTTTCTAGGATGAGCTGAAATTACTTACAAAGCAAGGGGCCACATTGCTGTCATGCATCCAAGAACCAGCAACCAAAAATCCCACCAGCAGACTCAATCTCAATGAACTTGAGAATGTAGCTACCATGGAAAGGTGAGTGAGTGAAGTAGAATCTGCTTTTTCAGGACAGAATATGTAGACCTCGATGTGCTGAAACAACCAAGAACAGATTGGAGCTACTGTTGGGTCTTGGTGGGGTCAAGAAAGAATAGTATTTGAGACAACAAAGGAAAAAAGATAATGTCCATCTGGTGTCCACCTACAGAGATCTTTTTCTGAGAATTCCATTTCTTCCTTGTCTGATATGCTCCCATCCCAGGATTTTGAGGGGGAGGGTAGTATTTGTTGAGCTTCATTTCCAGATAATGGTTTGGCTTGCGCTGTGCTTTCAACATGTGTAGTCTCAGGTGGACAAAAAGAAGGCACATGGGGGAGTCCACGTGGAGCACATTTTAAACCACAGCAGCTGCATCTGAAGGGAAGTTTCCACCTGCACCTCGGGTGTCCTGATTGGAGAATGGAAGGTGTGGGGACCTGCTGAACCGTATGAAAAGCATAGGTGGCACAGACTTTCATAGCAAGGAGACTGCCATAATTAATAACACTGACAGAAAACCTAGGTGTTATATGCATGGTTCTATACGGATGTCTGTGGAAAGGAATGTTTCTGTAATTTTACTTTCTCGTTCTTTCTTGAAAGGTTATTAGTTCAATTGCATGAAACAGAAAGAGCCTTTAGTGAGTTTTGGTCTGAGCATCACCTGAAGCTCAGCCAGAGCCTACAACTACAGCACTTTGAGCACAAGTTCTGTAAGGTACTATTTTCTTGTTTAGTGTAACTTCCTTTTCTGGTACACTGACTTCTGGTTTTCTCTTCCTCCTTGAACTCTTTGATGTTGTATTTCTTCTTCTCCCTAGTCCAGCTCCTTCTTCATGTCCTTTCTTCTCACAGACCTCCCCTCTCCACTTCTCACTTTTTCAGTGTGGTGGCAATGTTCTAGAATCCCATTTTCCTGTTGACATACATGCATTTCAGTGATGGTTTATCTTCTTTTTTGATTGATTTTCTGTTAAATGTTACCCTAGTATTCCATCTATATGTGTCTCTGCACCCCCCCCAGCTTAATCTGAAAGTTAATGAGCTGTAAAAAGAAGCATATAGAGATACATATGGATTTTTGAGTTTTCTTAGAGCCTAACAGATGTATGCCTCTAGATGGTGCTTGTTGGTTTACTTCTGGATTATTCTAACGTGTCTTGTAGGTTAAGCTTGCCCTGGATGATTTGTTGGAAGAGCAAGCAGAGTTTACAGGCCTTGGAGACAGTGTGATGCACGTGGAGCAACTTCTTAAGGAACACAAGATGCTGGAGGAAAAAGGCCAGGTTTGTTTTTTGACATTTTATGTACTAGGAAGGAACTCACTGTGGACAATGACAGATCATGTCCAATCATGGCTATTGGAAGGTTGTGAAAAGATACGGGATTACCCAGTCCTGCCCTTCAGTCACCCTACCCCCCACCTCAGGTCCCCAAGGAGATATGCACATTAACAACTATAACAACAAATAATACTGGTAGCATAGAGTTCTTTTACAGCTGCCAGAGCATACAGTTGAGGCTTGAGGCTTAGGTGGGGTGAGGACTCTGGGCCACCCTGCCCTCTCATGGGGTCAGCCACCAAGTGGGAGAAGGTCACTCACCGATTATTATCACCAATAATCTGAATCAGTTATTCCAGAGTCTCATCAATCAGCTTACAGCTCCTCCCTGGGGCCTGGATGTGGGGGTGAGGGTTGGTAGTAAGGGGGGGAAACAAGTAGGAAAAAACAAGAAAAACAGAAAAAAACAAGTAGTTTTATAACTGGAGCAAGACAGTTGGAAGGAAGAAATTTGACCACATTAGTTCTATTGCTACACAGAATTGGCAAAACTTTCTCCTTTCTCTCCCCGAGAGTTGTAAATATTAAAATTGTAAAGGAGTATGTATTTTACAATTCCCATACCAGACTTAAACAGTTTCCCAGTTCTGCACACAAGTCAGCACTTAGAAGTCATTCTATTTTACGTCCTTACAAATTTGGTTTATTGTAAGTTAAGAAAATAGNCCAGGACCCCTGAGAGCAAAATTCTAGGCCAGGCTCCAACCCTTTTTGCTTGTACCCTGGGCCTTATGGTAAGGCTTAGGACAGGGAGAGATGACCTGCACTGTCCAAGGAAAGGATGAGAGCTGTTGGATTTGGAAGGAAATAGCCTTCTCCAATTGCAAAGCACTGAGTTGCCATGTAAAAATAGCAGAATACGGTTACCTTGGAAGCATTTATCTTTCCATGTCAAACCGAAATTGCTTCCCATCTCTGCCAAACTTCAATAATTGAACAAAGCCACAGTTGGGGGGCAGGTGGAAGGAGAGGAAGGTGTTTATTGATGAGATCAGATGAAGGATTTTCATGGTCAACTAGCAATTTTTATATTATTATTTCATGGCAGTTTCTAATACTTAACATTCAATATTTGTTATTTTCTTGTCTCTGGTCACTATTTTGGATTATAACCAGATCTTATTGACTAGTTTTGCTTTTACAACAACAGCTTGAGATACACAAAAAAATTTAACAGTCATTGCCCTTGGAGAGGGAAAGTGGACAGGCTGGGGACAAAAGATTTGTGTTTTCTGGTATATATCCTTTTGTATATTATAAATGTTATATCATGTGCATGTATTACCTATTAAGGATAAGTTAATTAATTTCTTAAAGCTTCCTCTTGACTTCTTTAGCATTTAATTTCCTACATGAAAAATGTACTGATCTACCATCTCCTCACCTCCAAATTGATCATGAATTTCTTCTTGTTAATTTCTTCTAAGAGAGACCATATTTTTATTTTTCTAGGATGAGCTGAAATTACTTACAAAGCAAGGGGCCACATTGCTGTCATGCATCCAAGAACCAGCAACCAAAAATCCCACCAGCAGACTCAATCTCAATGAACTTGAGAATGTAGCTACCATGGAAAGGTGAGTGAGTGAAGTAGAATCTGCTTTTTCAGGACAGAATATGTAGACCTCGATGTGCTGAAACAACCAAGAACAGATTGGAGCTACTGTTGGGTCTTGGTGGGGTCAAGAAAGAATAGTATTTGAGACAACAAAGGAAAAAAGATAATGTCCATCTGGTGTCCACCTACAGAGATCTTTTTCTGAGAATTCCATTTCTTCCTTGTCTGATATGCTCCCATCCCAGGATTTTGAGGGGGAGGGTAGTATTTGTTGAGCTTCATTTCCAGATAATGGTTTGGCTTGCGCTGTGCTTTCAACATGTGTAGTCTCAGGTGGACAAAAAGAAGGCACATGGGGGAGTCCACGTGGAGCACATTTTAAACCACAGCAGCTGCATCTGAAGGGAAGTTTCCACCTGCACCTCGGGTGTCCTGATTGGAGAATGGAAGGTGTGGGGACCTGCTGAACCGTATGAAAAGCATAGGTGGCACAGACTTTCATAGCAAGGAGACTGCCATAATTAATAACACTGACAGAAAACCTAGGTGTTATATGCATGGTTCTATACGGATGTCTGTGGAAAGGAATGTTTCTGTAATTTTACTTTCTCGTTCTTTCTTGAAAGGTTATTAGTTCAATTGCATGAAACAGAAAGAGCCTTTAGTGAGTTTTGGTCTGAGCATCACCTGAAGCTCAGCCAGAGCCTACAACTACAGCACTTTGAGCACAAGTTCTGTAAGGTACTATTTTCTTGTTTAGTGTAACTTCCTTTTCTGGTACACTGACTTCTGGTTTTCTCTTCCTCCTTGAACTCTTTGATGTTGTATTTCTTCTTCTCCCTAGTCCAGCTCCTTCTTCATGTCCTTTCTTCTCACAGACCTCCCCTCTCCACTTCTCACTTTTTCAGTGTGGTGGCAATGTTCTAGAATCCCATTTTCCTGTTGACATACATGCATTTCAGTGATGGTTTATCTTCTTTTTTGATTGATTTTCTGTTAAATGTTACCCTAGTATTCCATCTATATGTGTCTCTGCACCCCCCCCAGCTTAATCTGAAAGTTAATGAGCTGTAAAAAGAAGCATATAGAGATACATATGGATTTTTGAGTTTTCTTAGAGCCTAACAGATGTATGCCTCTAGATGGTGCTTGTTGGTTTACTTCTGGATTATTCTAACGTGTCTTGTAGGTTAAGCTTGCCCTGGATGATTTGTTGGAAGAGCAAGCAGAGTTTACAGGCCTTGGAGACAGTGTGATGCACGTGGAGCAACTTCTTAAGGAACACAAGATGCTGGAGGAAAAAGGCCAGGTTTGTTTTTTGACATTTTATGTACTAGGAAGGAACTCACTGTGGACAATGACAGATCATGTCCAATCATGGCTATTGGAAGGTTGTGAAAAGATACGGGATTACCCAGTCCTGCCCTTCAGTCACCCTACCCCCCACCTCAGGTCCCCAAGGAGATATGCACATTAACAACTATAACAACAAATAATACTGGTAGCATAGAGTTCTTTTACAGCTGCCAGAGCATACAGTTGAGGCTTGAGGCTTAGGTGGGGTGAGGACTCTGGGCCACCCTGCCCTCTCATGGGGTCAGCCACCAAGTGGGAGAAGGTCACTCACCGATTATTATCACCAATAATCTGAATCAGTTATTCCAGAGTCTCATCAATCAGCTTACAGCTCCTCCCTGGGGCCTGGATGTGGGGGTGAGGGTTGGTAGTAAGGGGGGGAAACAAGTAGGAAAAAACAAGAAAAACAGAAAAAAACAAGTAGTTTTATAACTGGAGCAAGACAGTTGGAAGGAAGAAATTTGACCACATTAGTTCTATTGCTACACAGAATTGGCAAAACTTTCTCCTTTCTCTCCCCAAGAGTTGTAAATATTAAAATTGTAAAGGAGTATGTATTTTACAATTCCCATACCAGACTTAAACAGTTTCCCAGTTCTGCACACAAGTCAGCAATTTGACCACATTAGTTCTATTGCTACACAGAATTGGCAAAACTTTCTCCTTTCTCTCCCCGAGAGTTGTAAATATTAAAATTGTAAAGGAGTATGTATTTTACAATTCCCATACCAGACTTAAACAGTTTCCCAGTTCTGCACACAAGTCAGCACTTAGAAGTCATTCTATTTTACGTCCTTACAAATTTGGTTTATTGTAAGTTAAGAAAATAGAGTCATATCTTTCCAAAGAAGTTTCTTTCTGCTTTTCTTTAATTAGGTTATCTATAATTTGTCTTGGCGCCCAAGTCCCCTGTGGTTAGCACTTCCTTTCTGAGCTAATCTAGAGACATGTTTCCCAGATGATTATTTTGTAGTACTAGAGATTTTCTTCTCAAAGTGTGTGCCTCTGGCCAGCAGCATAGGTGTCACCTGAGTGAGAGCTTCTTAGAAATATAGAATTTCAGGCCCCACCTCAGAATCAGCATCTGCATTTTAATAGGATGCCCAGATGACTGACATGCACATCACAGTTAGAGACATACTTCCCTAAAGGATACAAAACAGATGTAAACCAAGGTCACACTGACTCTAAGAGCTGTCGGTTGTGGATTCTGAGCTGGAGGTGCTTCTGTAAATGCATGAACACTCAGTAATCCCATCCTTCCTAGTGATCACTCTTTCTGTTATCGCTGATCATTTGACAGCTAAACACTTTAATGCTGACAGCACGAGTCATCAGAAACATTTATCAAACATTGGAAAAATGGAATTTCATATATATTTCTGAATTTTGTATCTGAGTATCTCAGATTATCCAGGACAGCCCCAATTTTATGTAATTTTAATTTTTTCAAGAGAACTCCTTATTAAATACAGATACTGTGTATTTTTTTCTTATATAAATTCATATATTAGAATTCAACACTAAAAATGCCTTCATATATGAGGATACTTCAAAAAATTTGTGGAAAATAGAATGCAAAGATAATAAGAATTTTTCCATGAACTTTTTGAAGACCGCTTATAAACACATATGAAGGTGGCTCCTGACCTACCAGGGGGGCATTCATTCATCAACAGGTGTTGCTTGTCCTAGGTTCTGTGGATATGGTGGTGAACCAGACAGTAAGACCCTGCTCTTGTGGTCCTTACCATTCTACCAGGGAGAAGCAGTTAATTAAAAAACAACCAAATAAATAATAGCATCAGATAGCAACAAGTGATAAGAAAAACCAGGATGTAATAGAAAGTGACTGGAGGTGGTCAAGAAAGGCCTCTCTGAGAAGGTGACTCTTGATTTGAGATCTGTAGTCATGCAGAGGTTTGGGTAATAGCGTCAAGGCAGAGGAAGCTGCAAGTGCAAAGGCCTTAAAGTGGGAATGAGGTTGGTGAGTTCAAGGAACATCGCTGGAGCATAGTGAGCAGGAAGA